GAGTGAAGACTGCTGGGTTGTACGAAAAGGTCCTTGGCTCGCCATCCAGTGATTTTGAGGAACCTGTACGATCCTTTAATGTTGATTCATTTTTAGGTATGCTTACTTAATTTGAAAATTTGGCTTAATTCTTATACACGAAGATCCTTTTATTAATCAGAAATATCAAAACTGGGCTTCGATTCTTGGAAACTCTTATCTTCTTAGATAGGCCTAAATATTTTATTCTTTAGACATTTGTTTAGCATACGTCATACTAACAACATAACATAATAGCGACCTCAAAAGCATCTCTATTAAGCATGAAACGCTAGGTTCATGTGAATAATCAACGATTATCCTAGCTTGCGGATTTCCAATTTTTATATTCCTTTTACAGCGTCGCGAACTTCTTGCGCTGCTAGGTCGGCACAATCTCTTGCCTACAAACGGCGTGATCGGTGGCTCGGGTGAGGAAACATTTGTAGTTGAGTTTCGACTGAACGAACAACGCTATCATCTGCGCTTGACTCGGCAGCAAAAGACAGACATCGAACGTCTTTTGTTCACCACACATGCTAAACGGCAGGCCGAGATCCTTTCAGTACTGCAGCGCGAGCAGGCCCGATGCACAGTTTTGCCAAACCCTTCTAGCACCAGCAACATTAGTGACCAAAGCTCAAGTGGTCCCGCTTCCTCAGGCCTCAGCCTTCTCCATTCTGGCATCATGGGTCCTGCTCGAGCTTCAGGGCAAGCTACCCTTATGGCTGCTCCCGGCGGTATGGCGCAATATCAGCTCCTGGCTCATCCGCATCAACAGCAGCAGATGCCAATATCTGTTGGCCAAACTGCACCCGGACTGCGCCTTTTCCAACCACCTCAGCTTCCCAACGCCCTTACTTCAATTGCAACACCGGGGCTCAATGGCAATAGCGGTTCTATACGTGGACTTACGGAGAACGCAGTTGGCAGATCGCTGGCAGTGTGCAGTGGTGATCATCATGCCCCTGGCTTTTTAGCTCCTACGTCTGCTGCCTGCATGAACCCATGTGCAACACAAGGTCTCTCTTTACACCCATCACAGCCTGGTCCTAGTGTTATGACGGCCCTTGTCTCACCAGGTGCATTATCTCTTCCTTTATCCTTATTTTATATTCA